AAAAAGGGGGGGGGGGAGGGAATCATGTAAGATTTTGAGTTTAAGATACTTAAGACTGACTATTGAACACTTTTAATGTGTTATTCCTTGTAATTTGATCACCCACCGTTCCAAAATGTCAGCTGTCCCAACAATCTTTGGCACCGAATCGATTGTCAAATCGTTTTATCATGCGACCCTAATCGATAAATAGCATTAATAAGACGTGGATATATCGAACATTCGATACCGATTCAATAATCGACATGATAAAAGTTCATTGACTGTTGAAATTGAACTATAATCCCACCGTTGAGACCATACTCGAAGTTCAAGTTCTCTTGATATCTCACGAAATTTATCTCCAGACTCCACTTGATTTTTGGAAGCACTCTTCAGAATTTTTGACACTGGTGAGCCTCTCACTCAGCATTTGGTCGTGCGAATTTCAAATTACCTGTAGTACCTTGAAATCGTTTAGCCGGTATCCTTACTGAAATTGTGCTAAAATATATCAAACTTTTTACTTGTGCAAAAAGTTTGATCCCAACTTCAAATCCCTTTGAATCAGTGTAAATTTAACACTTACTTTCAAAGTCAGAATCTATTTTTTATTTAATTAACCTGAGCTATGCACTGCTGGCTATATTATTCGTTTCTGTTACCAATGTTTTCTCTAGTGACTGACTGTTTCTTCGACGACTACGACTTCCACTTCCAAGATGACACTGAGACATCCACGGCGAGAGAAGACGACCTGATATTCCTCACCCCATTCATCGAAAGGGGTCACATTCCAGGTGCCAAGACGATAGCCGAGGAGACGCGCAAACCGAAATATTGGGGAAAGTTGTACGGTCTCCTCATGGCCAACAGGAGTATCGACACCAACTTATTCTCCAGGCTGTTCAAGAGCAGCCATGGTAACTGGCCTTCCGGTGTGATGTCGGTCAAGCGTTCGGGGTACGGAGTTCAACTTTATGTCGGTGCTTTACTATGAACAAGGTACTTCCAACACAACCTTGTATTGGATCCTGTAACGGGGCAACATGGGCCCTTTAATAGTGTCGCAGTGCGCGGCATTTTGAAAAGAAAAATGAGTCGGGAAAAGTTTTAAATTTGACTACAGTCATTTTTCTCTTGTCAAAGATTCCAAGTCGAGAGAACATATTGTCATTGTGAGAAAAAGAAACCACTTTTTCTTGGTCTAAACTTGATACGTGACGCAGTACGTTCCATAACGGTTTTGTTAAATTTGGTTAAAATGTGCCGCGAAAAAGATTTTTCGTGCATTAGTGATCTGTTTTTCTTTGGCGTCAAGTCAAGGTCTTTCATGTTAAGGGGCGTACACCCTGTGTGATACTGATTTCGGTTCTTCAGTGAAACTTGCTCTTGCTGTATGAACAGTTTGTTGGCAAGGGTCGTTAAATCAAAATAGCAATTTTTTTTCTTTTTCCTTGAAGCTTTTAAGGCCCGTAATTATTGGATTTCTCGGTTTATTAAGGATACACTGAAGAAAGAGTAAACTTTCTTCGCTAAGATGGAGAGTTTTGCATTAATGAAAAAACATGGCTTGGAAATAAAAACTGACAGCCAATCAACCTTTGAAATGTAAAAATAGAAAAGAAAAGTTTTTGCTGTCATATAACATTCAAATGGCTGCTAATTCAACAGAAAATTAGTTTTAAAGGAGTATAATTATGTAGTGTTTTTTTATTGTATGTATTTTTCAATATTGCCGGACAGTTTAGTTTTTCTGGGGGAAGATTTTAAAATAGAGATGATAAGATATTTTTGTAGTATTTGTAACTACCATTTTATGATGTTTTATAAAATATACAATCACGCCTTTTTTCAAAAATTTGTAGCTTTCCGTAAGAACAATGATTAGTTCTTACATTTCCCACCCTGAAATCATGTATTAAAAATGAGAAACATTGAATCTCAGAGTATAAGCCGTCATAAATACTGATTGATTCGGCTGAAGATACAACATTTCCTCATTGACCATTTTAATGTGTTGCCATTATTATTTTTCATCCTTTAGGTCATGAAAAAAATGCAGGGCGTAAGTTGATATTTACAAAAACAATTTATTACTAAAATTATCTCTGATTAATAAATATATACAAAAAATATAAATCCACCTTCTAAAAAATGAGTTCCGATGGAATTGCACCAGGGCCTATGATTAAATTCTGTGAACACGTGCCTCCATTGCATTATTCCATTTATTTCTTTACTTTGAAAAATGGAAAATAATGAAACAGCAAAGTACTTGAAATTTCCTGGATATTTTCCTCATAGAGGCAATGAAATCACGAGTCTTCCAAAAACGTGTAGATTTACGTAATTTGACGTTTAATCAACTAAAAGTCACCAATGACGAATCGTGAATGATCGATTATCAATATTTCCTCATTTGAGGCCATGGTAAAGAATCGATTATTAAGGTGCTCGTTGCAAACACCCTGATTTTGGATCCTTTACCATAGGTTTAAATGACGGATGAGTCGATGTATCGCAAAGCACGCCACGCCATTAAGAGTTACGAGAAGTGCACCCTCACGGATAAAGGAATGTGTTCCCAAAGTTTAGCCATAGAATCCATATGATTAAATATATTATTCCATTCGTTGAAATACTTCTGAATGAAGTCAGTGTAGACCCTACAAAAACTGCTTCTCTGAAACGCTCTTTTTGGGATCCCTTCTGGCTGATTCCAAACCACCTAAATAGGATTCAAATCTCACAGCGGTGACACTGGTTTTTTACTTCGCTTCGGTTTGGAGAATTTTTCTTTCTTGTCGTGGTTCTTGGTGAAGTAGGACTCAATTTTTTCAAGGGATTTGCCCTCAGTCTCCGGTAGATAGCGCAGGAAGTACCAGAATCCAATGAGAGAAATCGCTCCGTAAAAAAATAAGACTCCGTTTAGTTTGATCCACCGCTCTAAGTACAAGTACGTTTTTGACATAACGGCCCCGACGTAATACGCCCAAGCCGCAGAAATGCCTCCCGCAGCCCCTCGACCCCTGGAAAAAAATGCATACTTGAAAATAAAATTAAAAATTTACGAGAGAATTCGTATTGATATGAAACTCTAATACCACTTATCTCGGTTGCGGTGTTTTGAAATATCCGCTCCTATTTTATTTTTTTAAAAAAGTAAAGATGAGATTATTCCTTGAAATTTTGCAGGATTTTGTTTTTGCACAGTGAAGAAAACTTACGAGAGTTTTCACGAATTGCCGTTGAGTAATTTTTTAGTTAAGAAACAAAGTATGACAGGAAGTCTGCAACGTCGTAAATTGATATACGTGGTTTAGAAATTTCACAGTCGATATTTGACCATCTATGTGAGGGAAAACCTTACTCCACAGAGACGCAGATACGAGTTTTTTGAAGCAAAGCATGTAAGAGTGTTTTTCAAGCGCGGAAATGCCTGAAAATGTCAGTCTTAATCGAACTAAAAATTGCGAACTAAAAAAAATGAACCTTTGCCATGACACAAAGCTCTAGCCAAATCTCAAAACGTTCTCTTTACAGGGACTCCGAACAGAAAAATGCGCGCATTGCAGTGCAGTACTGCGATGTACGATGATGCGTGCAAAAGGGTATTCAAGTCGCCTTCAATTATGTCTACATGCAATACAGGCATCCATAGAGCAGTAGTGATTGCATCAAGGCGTTACTATCAAAATAGCTGGTTTACAAGCGCTTATGTGCGCTGTGCGACACTCAACCGTACTTGCCAAAACTCCTCCGGCAGATCGCATCTCCTCATTTCCTGCCTTATTCCCTCAATCTGCGATTTGGCAGGGCGTCCTCTACGTTCTCTGCCAAGGGGGGACCCGATCCAGAATCTTCTCAGGCAACCGATCATTAGCTATGGACATGCCGGTGGATAACACTTACTTGAGAGGGAAAACCTCGCTGAGGAGTTGCCAGGGAAGGAGCGCTACGCTGAGACCGCTGAAAAAACTGATGCTGACCAAGAGGGAAATGGGGACCCAGACCAGACTTGGGATCCGATTGGTCCGGTCGAAGAAGGAGCAGTAGACGCCGAGGAGGACGATGGACACTGAGGCCATGCCTTGGCACAAGAGAGTGAGCCTCCGCTTGCCAAGCCGTCGAAGGAGCACCACGTTCAAGATCGAGCCGACGAAGAAGAAAGCACTCGTCAAGATCTGAAAACAAGAGGCACAATCTTCATAAATCCGATCAGGATCTATTGAGGGTCTTGGAGGACAAGGTGCCTCGGTGTAGTTTTTGAAAAAATCGAGATATTAATGATTTCAAGTAAAACTAGTCTTAAGGTGATTCGATGGACGCCATATGTTGAGTCAAAACGACGTGCGATATAGCGCATCGATTAGTTCCATTTTCTCAGCTACTTGTCATTTTTTTCGAATTTGAAGATCGCAATTCTGTTGTCAGGAGACTAAAGAATTTGTTTACCAATTTAGACAAACAAATTCAACGTAATATAGGCGTGTTTTTCAGAGGAAAAATATAGCATTCGAGTGCAGTTTCGATATCAGTATCGATTATGATATTTTTTCTCTAAAGAAATCGCGCCTTCATTATGTTGAATTTGTTTGTCAAAATTGGTAAGTGAATTCTTTAGTGTCCTGACAATAGAATTGCGATCGCAAAACTCGAAAAAAATGACAAGTAGCTGAGAAAATGGAACTAATCGATTCGATAAATCGCATGTCGTTCTGACACAAAATATAGCGTCCATCGAATCATCTGAATGCATATTCTGGGAAAAATTCGCTCCCAGATTCCAATTTTTAAGTACCGAAAAGTAGTTTGAACTTTCTTTCCGCCATAAGGGTCTGTGTAATTTTGAAACTTCAAACACGTATTTCTCGAGATAGCAAAAATTGCACCTATGCGCCTTGTCTTCCAGTCCCTTCTAATTATTTAGTTCAGTCATTTCCAAAGACAAAATGAGAATCTGCTGCGCATGGCGTCAGCATTGCCGGCGCGAAAGTCAGAAAGCTGGGAATCAATGCATTTCATATGGAAGAAGGCTAATTGTAATTGATTAATCATTAAATTTTCTTACTTTTAAATCGTTTGAGGCGTTCTGAGTGTCGAAAAAAGCGTTTAAAAAGGCATTGGCGTTCAATGCTTCGATTTAGCTTTTGAATCAGTGCGGACGAAAACACACCAACTCGGTAACTCGAAAATGCTCAATTCTCATTGAAGACAGTCAGTTTCATAAAGGTTATTGAAGTTAGCGCATCTGTTCCAACTTGGACCTTTAAAGTCTCCCTAAGTACTTGTCTTTAGGCGCCAAAAAGTATTTTTTTTTCAGTCTAACTTCTTCACCTCCTATGGAATTTTGTGTGTCTTGATTATTTTCATTTTTCGAATTGGTGTGTTTTCGTTCTCACTGATTCATTGCGGTTTTATGTTTTTTAATGATCCTTGAAGTCAATGCTGTACGAGCCGCTTAGTGGTATAAATTGGCATGTGAACATACAACTGCATGGCTGATGCAGAGTCACCTTTAAAAGTATAAAAACGCCAGAGTTCTGTTCATTTGTTCCTTTTTTCACTTCGGCTCCAACTATTAGAATTTTCCATAGCTAATTGCTAGGTAACTCACCAATATTAGTTTGCTATCCATTGGAAATCCAAATTCATTGAAGACACCGACCATGTACGGGCGCATTGCTATAAGACTCGATGCGTAACAGAATACGAAAACAATAAACACCATTCGCAAGGGCCGCAAAAGCTTCTTGTCCGTCAATTCTCTAAATTTCGCCTGCAAATAGCTCTCCTTCTCTTTTGCCACCTCTCTCCCTACAAAAATAAAGAAATTGTTAGGTGTGAGGACTTAAAATCTATAATTCTTAAAATCCTCTGATTTCAATTATGTTTTTATTTTTAATGAGGGATGATATAACTATTGGTGACACGGAGCAAATCGTTTGATTTCCAGCGGAGGAAAAGGAAGGGATCGCAGATTCCAAAATTCGTGACATGATTTATAAACGACCCCTCAGTGAGATGAAGATGCAATATTTAGTAAAAGAGGACTAGTGTATTCTGCCGTGTTAAGTAAAAACGCCGTATGAACATTCGAATATTGCTAAATTTCCTCTTGGAAAATATTTATTTTTAAAGAAAGCTATGAACATTTTCCATTGACATTTTCTGGATTTTTAGATCAAATTGCAAACAAATTTTCTTGAAAAATCGGAAGAGAAATATTCACAAATTTTCCTGAAAATTCGTGATTTGTCGAAGGAAATTTGGCGACGCCTGATGGCTGATACGGCGTTCTTACTTTGCTCGGCAATATGAGGCTATAAATGAATGATGCATGAGACAACACCTCCGGTTGTCCTAGGATTACTCCTTCCCTAAGCGAGAAGGTGTATGCCAAATCGCGTTTACCTGATTTGAAGGGGCATCTAAGATATTATGTCGGACCTACAGTTGAATAATATCTCGGATAGACTCAAGTTCAGATGGTTAGTGCAACGTAGACTCCGAATAATTCACGGCATTTGTGAGTTATGTTATGCCCCTTTTCAACACTCCTCTCGATGATCCGTAAATTATTTTCTTGTGTTCTTTGTACGGGATGTATTTGATAAAACAGACGTAATAAATTCGGCTTTTATTTACAGTTGACCACGTGGCGGCATCGCCGTTTTGGCGATTTTCATCTTTTGGATTTTGGAATTTTTGAATGGTTTTACTTTAAGCCGTATGACCATATGCACGAATAGACATGTCTTTATGTAAAAGGAACTGATTGACTCACCATTCTCGTCGGTGCGGACAAGCTCGTATTTTTCTATTTCAATGTCGTTGGCTTGATAGGGTGGGGGCGATATCTTGGTGTAGCTCAGGAGCTCCTGAAATTCCTCCTGCACTTCCTCCGGTTCAACCCAGCCTCGCAACCAACTCAAAGATTTCTGGGCATCTTTCAAACGATCTTTCATGATAAGCCACGTTGGTGATTCTGGAATCTGAAATGAGTCGAAAACGCCTCGGTTGAGTGAGCCAATAGGCGAATGGGTCTGCTTAAAACCTTTGCTTTGGTCAAAAGAAGACTCCTTGAGAAATAGTACAACGCTTAAAACACGATGATTGCATCGAAAATGTTTGAAAATCACTCCTAAATTCACATTTTTGAATTTTTAAGCTTCCTGCTTCAAAAAGTACATCAAAATGAAAGCATAGTTTGAAAAATACGAGCCATCCTGGTTTTAAAACTCTATACAAAATTCAAAATAGCTGTCGTTATATTTTCTACTTTTAACTACATGAACAATTGGACTACGTTTTGCGATTACGATTAGGAACTAGAATTCCTGGCTCAATATGGAAACAGCGTGTGTATTCTATTAATTTCCCTGTGCACGTAAGTATTTTAACGAATGGTATCGAAACTGTAATTCCTGATTTCAAAATTGTATGAGGTAAGTGAAATTTTGTCCAATTGGACGTATTTCTATCAAACGGACCAAAGCGCCATAGAGTGAGGGCAGCGGAATCGGGCGGCTTATTCCGTCCTATACTCGCAATGCTTTTCCATGGCGCTTAGGTCCGTTTGACAGAACGCGCTATCCGGGATTTTAAATTCCTCAAAAGGAACTCATATTGGCGCTTAGTTCCGTTTGATAGAAATACGTCCAATTGCACCTCTACTTGTTGCACTTAACCCAGGAAGCAGAAATGAGAAAATATCGGATAAATGTCTTTTAGTAGTAGCAAATTGTTTATTTTTAAATAAAGAACTACGACGCGGCAGCTATACGTGGTGGTCATTTTCAGCTCTGCTAGGAGTTGTGGAGCTGCAGGGTTACACGTCTAGTGTTGAATCAATGTCTTCAATGAATAAATACGATAAAAATGATACGAAAATGTATCACATTCGATTCATTTCTTTCGACGTGCACCCAAGAGAAAAAATTAAAAGGTGGTGTCCTTTAGGTTTTGGCAGTCGTTTAATGCGTCCAGTGGCGATTCCAGCAAGTTGGCAACACTGTCAATACTACATTCAAATCCATTACCACCATTGAATGACTTGAGTATAGATGAAAAAATTGTCGTCTCCTTTATGGTGGAACGTATCCACACTTTAATGTTGCCAAATGAATCTTTACTAGTAGCGTCTTGGGCATTTCTTGCTGAAAATTGCCCTGATTTCTCTTCAGATCTCGTGTAAAAATCTGAAAATTTTTGGAGAAAAATTGCACAGGTACATTCGTGTAAAAAATGGAATTTTTGAATCAATTTTTCAGCCTTGGATTGGAGTTACATTCTTTCATTCGGGGAACGACGAAATGTGACAGTCCGATAATCCAGGAGCCAGTAGCGTGGCGTGCTTTGCGATTTATCGATTGATCTACCATTTAAACCTATGGAAATGGATCGATAAAAAGGGTGTTCGCAACGAACTCCTTTATAATCGCGATTCTTTACCCTAGCTCCATAATGGGGAAAATCGATATATCGCAAAGCACGCCACGCCACTGCCACACGGAGAAAGAAAACACGGTTTTTCGACGGTTACAATGTGGTAATGTCACACGGGATTCCACGGTAGTAGAACCATGGATTTGGGTAAGATTATTGATGAGCATGGTAGCATAACATGCTCGTGGTAGCATTATTGTGCTCACAGTAATATTACGGTGAACACAGTAGCAGCACCGTGCTCATCATTACAATCATGAAAATCCACGGTTCTACTACCGTGGAATCCCGTGTGACATTACCACCGTGGTACCCGTCGAAGAACCGTGTTTTTTTTTTTTTTTTTTTTTTTTNTTTTTTTTTTTTTTTTTTTTTTTTTTTTTTTTTTTTTTTTTTTTTTTTTTTTTTTTTCTCGGTGCAGGAACCCAACACATCCGGAAGGCCGTGATTCTTGCCTGCCTACCTGGGTCATGAAAATAATGGTTATGACAGGGACAGCACTGCTGATGAGAGCAGCTGTCCTCCAGTGGACTAAGTACCCGATGATGTACATGATGAGCATTCCCAGGATACAGGCCGCTGACGTGACCGTGGAGAGGGTCCCGCGGAGATGGGGCTCGCCGACCTCGCCGATGTAGGAGTGAAGAGGCGCCTCGCAGAAGCCCACGCTGAGGCCCATCGCCAGGGACACGAAGTAGAGCATGTAGATGGAGCCGGCCAGGTAGAGCGTGCTCCAGGCCGCGAAGATGGGAATGTTCACCAGGATCAAGGACCCCTTCCGCCCGAACTGTTCCTGCAGGAACCCCGAGACCATGCTCCCGATTGGGTGCGCGAAGAACAGGATGCTTCCTGGGAATCAAGAGGAACTTCAACGTACAACGATATTAGAGCCAACTCAGACAATGCATTTCAGAGACCCCATACGCTAAAATCTAAAAGTGTTGTCCATGGCCAAAGGGCGAAACCACGTATTTCTGTTTGCGACGTCGCAGGGTGGGTCGAGTCAATCAGAGAGGTCGAACATAAAATGTTTGACTAAAACCAGGGCCGGATTAAGGGGGTGGCCACATGGGCCGCGGCCCATGGCGGCAAAATTAGCGGGCGGCAAATTTTGCAATTTTTTTAAATGCAGGTACAAAAAAATCGGATTCAGAAAAAAAATTACAAACAAGAAAAGATGACAAAATCTCCCATTTCCTGAGAGTTCATTAATTTCTAATTTGGTCGTATTTTTGTGATACAGAAGACTGCGCACCTTTAATTAGTTTGAGTTAAGAGAGAAACCAAACGCGTAATGGACCACTAGACAAGGCACGAATTCAAGCATTCTGATACATGTTTCTTAAACAGAATTTCACGTAGAACACGATTCGCGCAACGAAAATCACTGAAACTAACTCCTAACGAATATATTAACCTTTTCATTTCACATTGGTTACGCGGATTTTGAACTGCCCGCTCACACGAAACTCAAAGCTCTACGTGAGTCAGATCGCGCACTACAACGGTTTCAGCAAGCCTCTCAATCGAGCAATGTTCATTTCCCTCCATGTGTTCTTCGAACTATAAGCAATTTGCAATAGCTGAGCCAAAGCGTCAAGCTAGAGGTTGCCAGATTTTTATATCGCAAGAGATCGTCATGATAAACGTTTAGCGCGCGATGTGAATCACGCAGAGCATTGAGTTTTCATGAGCGGTTGGTTTGAATTCACACATCAAGAATCATTAAATATCTTCGTAAGGAGTTAATTGCGGTAATTTTTGTTGTGCACATCGTGTTTTACGTGAAATTATAGTTAAGAAACATGTATCAGAATGCTGAAATTCGTACCTTGTCTAGTGGTCCATTTGGCCTGGAGCGGGGCGGCGCAAAGAGAAATGATGACGAGGACTTGAGATGAAAAGAAGAAGCCCTCGGCGCGGCGGTCGGCATGTAACACATATTAGCGCCTACGAGACTGCATGAATACTTCACGCATTGCGTCAAACACGTACGGTCAACAGCGGTCGGCGCGGCGTGAAACGCACAGTGCCTACAAGACTACATGAATACTTCACGCATTCCGCCAAACACAGTGTGGTCAGCGCGGCACGGCGGCGGAAGTTAAAATTATTAAACCACATTTATGTTTGTTCTTTCTTAATTTTTTAGTTCATTTCTTACAAATGAAAGGCCTTGTCCCCACAAAGATAGGTTTACGGAACTGAACTTTCGCGCGAAGTTCCGTGAACTTTTGCTAGTAGTGTTGACAGAGCTTACGCAAAAAATGTGTCCAACACGAGTGAACGCGTCCTATGCACCCTTCTTCCTCCGGCACGTTCACTTGATGGTTTTCATTGATGTTTCAAAATGAATGAGAAGAGGGCGGCAAAATACAGGCGGCCCATGGGCGGCAAGTACGTAAGTCCGGCCATGACTAAAACTGCAAATTTTGATGTTTATTTCGTCACATTTCAAATTTTAAGGAAGACTGCTGAAGAATTTCACGAGAAAACTAATGAAATCAATTTTGGAACCTCGAAGTTTGTATAAACGGAGTTATAAGCGTTTAAAGTTTCCAAATGATGTCCAACCTGTCTTATTGACTCGATCCATTGTGCGTCGCAAACTTCTTGCCATATACTTAATCTTTTTTTGAAAAACTAATCAATTTAATTCCTTGAAAATTTCCTCGATTTTTCTTCTCTATTAACAGAATATTCCGTAGAAATTTCAAGCTATGTTCTTGATTGGTTTCTCTTCGAAAAAATAAAGTAGGATCAGACATTTCGAAGCACCGCAATGCAGATATGTGGTTTCGCACTTTAGCCACTAATATCTAAAAGTCAACGCTCAGATTCGCCCAATAATTAATTACTCATAACCGAAGTGTTGAGCAATGAAGCTCTTGCATACCACAAAGATGTGATGAAAGTACTTTTTCCAATGTAAAAGTATGCGATCAATATGGCCATCCGCGGGGCTCTCCACCAGTCAGGAGGGTTATGGGGGAGACAGGGGGAACCCAAGGCCCTGACGACTCCGATATCGATGGCTAAAGTGCGAAACCATGTATCTCCATTGTGGTGTTTCAAAATCTCCGCTCTTAGTATATTTTTCTGAAGAGAAAAAAGTCAACTACATCTCTTGAAATGTGTACAGAATGTGCTGCTAACTGCAGGGCCGGATTTACCTACTTGCCGCTCATGGACCGCTAGTATTTTGCCGCCCCCTTCTCATTCGTTTTGAAAGATCAATGAAAACCATCAAATGAACGTGCCAGCGGGGGAGGGGTGCATAAAACGCGTTTACTGGTGTTGAACACATTTTTTGGGCAAGCCCTGTCAACACTACTAGCAAAAGTTCACGGAACTTTGCGCGAAAGTTAAGTTTTGTAAACCTATCCCTGTGTGGACAAGGCCTTTCATTCATAAGAAATGAACGAAAAAATTATGAAAGAACAAACATAAATGTGGTTTAATGATTTTAAATTCCGCCGCCGCACCTCGCAGACCGCACTGCGTGTTTGACGCAATGCGTGAAGTATTCACGCAGTCTTGTAGGCGCTATGCGTCTCTCGCTGATCGCACTGTGTATGCTGCAATGCGTGAGGTATTCATGCATTCTTGTAGGCGCTATCCGTTTCACGCTGTCCGCAATGACCGTACTGTGTTTGATGCAATGCGTGAAGTATTCGTGCAGTCTTGTAGGCGCTAATATGTGTTACATGCCGATCGCCCCACCGAGGGCTTCTCCTTATCATCTCATGTCCTCGTCATCATTTCTCTCTAAGTAAGTCGCGCCGTTCCAGGCCAAATTGCGTGTTTGGTTTCTCTCTTAACTCGACTAATTAAAGGTGCTGTCTCTTGTATCACTGAAAGACGACAAAAGTAGAGATTACTATACTCTCAGAAAATTAGAGATTCTGTCGCCTTTTCTCGTTTGTAATTTTTTTTTTCTGAATCCAAATTTTTTTTATACCTTCATTTAAAAAAATTGCAAAATTTGCCGCCCCCTATAGATTTGCCGCCATGGGCCGCAGCCCATGTGACCATCCCCTTAATCCGGCTCTGGCTAACTGAGAGGAAAAATCAATAACTTTTCAAAACTATACGTCGACTCGTTTTTCGAGGGAAAAATAAAGTATGACAAGATGTCTGCAACTTTGCAAACGGAGATACGTGGTCTTGCGCTTCAGCCATCGATTTTTAAGTTCTGCAAAATTTGCAAAATTGTCACCTCAGGCCCCAATACTGCTTGGACCTACGTATTATCATATATTAACTCATCTATGTCCAGTGAATGTTTGAACACTAAATTATCGTTACAAAATTTTCCGGTGTGGACTGTTTTTAACAAAATTTGATTCGCGGTTATCTCTGGAGCATCTCCATTGACCCATCTGGGCATTCAGAATGATCTCATGTTTCTATCTAAAGAACTCTTCACAAATACGTTGACAGAATCTGAAATCTCTGCAAATAACAGTTTTTCTACGACACTACTTGACATATCAATAACCAGTGTCAATAATAATGATATCTTTCTTGATATGGAGCTGCAAAACTGATAAAAAGAGAGCCTATATAAAATGTGACACGTGTTAACATACGTTTACGGATAATAATGACGCGCCGAAACGGGCACGCACTATTTTCTTAACCTTGGTCACTTATTTTCAATTATTATAACATTCTGCCGACCTCATTTACAAAATGACTAATATCCATGACTGTCAACACAACTGTTTAACTCAAATTAAATACTCTATGTCATGCTAAAGAAACGTAAACAAATTAACATGATGTTAAACTTGGAAGGAAAACGTATAAAATTCAAATCAGAGAGCAGTTTTTTTTAGAAATGTCAATACATCGCAATAATGAATGTAGGAGAAGCACCCAATGGCAGTGAAGGATCTTGGTGAGAAATAATTTTTCTTCTCCTCCGACTATTCGATGTGTCGGATAGTTTTTTGATGCCATAAAAAAAACTTGTACTCCTTCTCTATGGAAAGCCTGATGGTAATTTGCAGTGCTAGGAACTATTGCTAACCACCTGCGACTGATGCTCCAATTGCAGCAATTGATTGTTCCTGCTCAATTGATGATTAGGTTGCATATACAAGAAACTGAAGGCGTTGTTTCCCATTTCTTACACAAGTTTAGTGCGACCAGTTTTCGTCCCACTATTTGGGTTGCATGATGAGCAATGCGCAAAGGGTGCTTTTTTCGACTCACAAGTTTCCCGACTCCTAAATTTATCAATTTGATGTTAAAAAAAATTAGATAGTTATTCGGATTCAGATATCTGAATATTCCGTATCGGTTCAAATGAATAATTTCAAATCGCCCGATATGAGCGTTGAGTTTCTTACTCACCAAACCACGATGCCTGCTCATCGTTCATACTCAGATCTTCGGCAGGATTATTATGAATAGCGCCCAAAACTATGGTTGGCATCACCAACTGCATGCCAAGATCGATGAGCAACCAGTTCTGGATGAGGGTGGCCACCACCTGTAACTCACAAGAATATTTATCTTAATTTGACTCGTATCAAAACATAACGTTAATCTATTCTGGGGGTTTTGAGGGGGTTCGCAGACTTCTTGTAATTCTTTTTTTAGAGAAATAATCAGCGTAATTTGATGAGAGCAGAGGCAGACTTGACTTCTCTACTATGTTACCAGAATATTCTGTATATAGTTCAAGATATAAAGTCAGCTTATTTCTCTTCGACAAAATGAAAAAGGAGGGGAAATCTTGAAACAGTGCGATGTAGATACGTGGTTTAACATACTTTGTCCAACGATATGTGATCGTCTACGGAAAAAGAGACATTATTTCTAAAAACTAAAATTTGAGTCATTGACATTGTATCATTGAGGTGTGAATTAGTGCGGGGGCATACGTGATCCCGTGTGCAGATTTGTGAAGGCATATTGTGTGATACATCAATCTCTTCGTTTTGATGTCTAGAAAAAGAAAATCGATGATGGCCATCTCAAATTTCATACAAACCCCCCCAAAATCAAGATGGCGGCCAAAATGGCGGTTTTGGGGTAAAAAAATTTAAAGTTTGCAAATACGTCGTGTCGGGTATCGATTCTTATGTATTTTTGATCGTAGAGTCCGAATTTTTAGTCGAAAGTTAGCTCAAAGGTCATTTTCAGGCCAAAATCCAAGATGGCGTCCAAAAATACCTCTTACGGGTGATAATTTGCCTACTCGGGTCTACATGCATTGTGAGGTATCAATTATTAGGTTTTCAGGGTCGTAGAGTCCGAAAATGAGGTCCATTTTCCGCTGCGGCTCTCAAGAAGCCCTAAAATCAAAGATGGCGCCCAAAATGGCCGCCGGTCTTGCGGATGAAACTGCCATTTAGGGCAGCTATAACAAACAATACGTTCAAAATTAAGTTTCTTGGGTCAAGAAGTTCAAATAGGAGATCAGATGTTTACTCCTACAAAAAATTAAGCCTCCGAATCGAAAATGGCTGCCGACATTGTTGCCAGTTAAAGGCGCAGACCGGTAAATGACTGATATTAAGGGATTTGCCGAAGGAGGGGTTTCGATAAGGGCCGTTGTTGGGCCCATACCCTGAAATTCTTCAATTTTACGATTGTTTGCTCATTTAAAGACTAAAGTTTGCGGAATGTATCATGATTTTGTCATTTCCGGTCTATTTAGGGGTCTAATACCGGCCTAAACATGAGACTAAAGGCCGATTTTGGCGAAAAATGCGGGTTTTTTTACATTCGACGTGACGCTGTTTCATAACGATCCCATCATCGGAGGAGATTGTTGTCCTTCAAGTACGTTCATTAAGGATGTAAGATAGTCACTTTGCCCAATTTTCGTTGATGGCAAACCTTGCGCTCAGAGTTAAAACGATCTTCTTATAAATTTCTTGTTTTTCATCGTTATTTAAAATGGCATAGAAAGAGCGACTCATCTTAAACCAGAAATAGATTCCTTGGTGGAAAATGTACGCAGCTGGTCATAACTGTCCTCCAAAAAATTAATGGATTAAAGCCTCCCCCCCCCCCAAAAAAAGGAAAACCTGTGTTGCCATATTTTATTGCCTAACATCACAGAAAACCGCGTGATAGTATTTGGAGGCTGTTCTTCGTAGAGCACATTATTAGCAAAGCTCAAAACCCTTGATTTTTCATACGTTACGATCGCATGATTAGTGATTATATAAATGCAATTATCCATTATTATTTTGTTTATTACATGTATGTATCTATAGAGAGCGTGGCGCGGCATTCCCACATATCATCGGTAAAAATCGAGAAAAATGCAACATTTAAACCAAAATGAGAATTCTACTATCATCGCGCTGAGAATGCTAGCCTTATCCAAAACTAAAAATTCATTGCAATAAAATGTGTAATATTGGTTAAAAGGCAAAACGACATAGAACATGGTCTTATCCGGGTGGTATTACCTGTGCAAAGTGGGCGATAGAGTCGTCAACTGCTGAGCTCATATTGCATCTCTCATTTGGTGCCTCACTCATTACAGACATAAGTCTGAGCCAGAAAACTGAGCGTTACTGCTAGATTAACATGCATGTGTCATTTCTCTAAAATTATGACATGGCAGCTCCAAACAAGAGGTTTGATGCAGGAGACAGGGAACCTGATGAAGAAGTAACTGATGAGGAAGCTGCGTTAGGTGGCTGGGCAGAAGTGAGGGAAACCAGGGTTTCAAAATATTTTTAGGAAGCAGAATTCTGATCGATCGCAGGCAATAAGAATGGCGGGGGGCAGGGATTGTCAGGGTGGTGAAAAATCAGCATTAAGCACTCGTGATTCTGACACATGGCTTACTTTTTTTTCGGATCTCAGATCACGGTCAATGATTCAAAGTTGCACCTTCGTTTGTAAATATCGTGTACTAAATTCGTAAGATAATGGGCCACCTACAAGCCCAAAACTTTAAAGCAATTATCACTAACACAAAATATAATCTACTTGCATCTCTGAATACTGCAATTCGAGTCTTACATATTTATTTCAAAATGCGCATATTCCGAGAAAGTGGCTGAAATCCTCGGCCAACTAGGATTTTTCTCGATTTTTACCGATGATATGTGCGAATGCCGCGCCACGATGGGAGTCTCTACAGATACTTACATATAATAAACAAAATAATGATGGATTATGGAGATTTCGCATATATGAGGAATTTGCGATTTGATTGTTGATTCTTACGTAAAAGTTCGGGAGAAACACGATGGTGCCACTGGTTTTCTCTGAAATCAACTCCCAAGTTCAAAAAAAGCTCTCAAATTGAGCCCGAAATGGAGGGGATATCCCACGCTATCCCGAGAGTCCACCTCTAAATCAAGACAAACTCTCTATGCAAAGATAAGGAGCAAGTACATTCACAGGGCTACCACTTTATTTGGGGACTCCACAACAGAAAACGCAGCAACCTTGCTAATGTATTTGCTCCCTATCTTTGCATGGAGAGTTTGTCTTGATGTACAGGTGGACTCTCAGGATAGCGCGGGATATCCTCCATTTTGGTCTCAACTTAAGAGCATTTTTTGAGCTTGGAAGTTGATTTCAGAGAAAGCCATTGGCACTAACGTGTTTTTCGCGAACTTCTACATAAGAATCCATAGTCAAATTGCAAATTTCTCACACATGCAACATCTCCATTGCATTTATATAATCACTAATCATGCGATCGTAACGTATGAAAAATCAAGGGTTTTGAGCTTTGCTAATAATGTGCTCTACGAAGAACAGCCTCCAAATACTATCACGCGGTTTTCTGTGATGTTAGGCAATAAAATATGGCAACACAGGTTTTCCTTTTTTTGGGGGGGGGGAGGCTTTAATCCATTAATTTTTTGGAGGACAGTTATGACCAGCTGCGTACATTTTCCACCAAGGAATCTATTTCTGGTTTAAGATGAGTCGCTCTTTCTATGCCATTTTAAATAACGATGAAAAACAAGAAATTTATAAGAAGATCGTTTTAACTCTGAGCGCAAGGTTTGCCATCAACGAAAATTGGGCAAAGTGACTATCTTACATCCTTAATGAACGTACTTGAAGGACAACAATCTCCTCCGATGATGGGATCGTTATGAAACAGCGTCACGTCGAATGTAAAAAAACCCGCATTTTTCGCCAAAATCGGCCTTTAGTCTCATGTTTAGGCCGGTATTAGACCCCTAAATAGACCGGAAATGACAAAATCATGATACATTCCGCAAACTTTAGTCTTTAAATGAGCAAACAATCGTAAAATTGAAGAATTTCAGGGTATGGGCCCAACAACGGCCCTTATCGAAACCCCTCCTTCGGCAAATCCCTTAATATCAGTCATTTACCGGTCTGCGCCTTTAACTGGCAACAATGTCGGCAGCCATTTTCGATTCGGAGGCTTAATTTTTTGTAGGAGTAAACATCTGATCTCCTATTTGAACTTCTTGACCCAAGAAACTTAATTTTGAACGTATTGTTTGTTATAGCTGCCCTAAATGGCAGTTTCATCCGCAAGACCGGCGGCCATTTTGGGCGCCATCTTTGATTTTAGGGCTTCTTGAGAGCCGCAGCGGAAAATGGACCTCATTTTCGGACTCTACGACCCTGAAAACCTAATAACTGATACCTCACAATGCATGTAGACCCGAGTAGGCAAATTATCACCCGTAAGAGGTATTTTTGGACGCCATCTTGGATTTTGGCCTGAAAATGACCTTTGAGCTAACTTTCGACTAAAAATTCGGACTCTACGATCAAAAATACATATGAATCGATACCCGACACGACGTATTTGCAAACTTTAAATTTTTTTACCCCAAAACCGCCATTTTGGCCGCCATCTTGATTTTGGGGGGGTTTGTATGAAATTTGAGATGGCCATCATCGATTTTCTTTTTCTAGACATCAAAACGAAGAGATTGACGTATCACACAATATGCCTTCACAAACCTGCACACGGGACATATGTTTTGTTACGTATGCCCCCGCACTAAATCATCAAAAAGGAATATTGGAAAAATACTTATGTTCAAAGTGCGCATGCAGAAAAAAATAATTATAATAAAAAAAATATTCATACCTGTGATAATGTGGATCTGCTGGCATTTTTGTACCGAAATTTATTCGTCTCGCACCCTTGGTAGATGGGTTGGATTTTCACTGGTTTTTCAGGTGAGCTCATGACTCTAGTCCAAGTCCTGGCGTCAGGGTCGATGCTTTAAAAGAATTCGAAGATATTCATTGTTGAATTCTTTGATTTGATCATCTGCGTGACCCAAAGAACGAGAAATATTGTCAAAAGTAGAAACAATTGCAGTTGAATTTTTTAACTGAGAGTTGTTCATAAAAAAGCTTTACATGAGACAATAAAAATTAAACTAGACGTAGCCCACATTTCAGAGAGGAAAGAGCAGCACATATTAAAATGTTGACTGCGAGGTCTGTCAGATTAGAAACCGGATTTTGGTGATAACCAGCCCATCGTGCGTCCGAATCAAGTTTTCTTGGACTATACCGTGATAGCTGAAAATATATTTAGGAACGCTGCATTCACAAATTTGAAAAAACTCAATTAGCTTTGTTGGTACATGGATTGAAGAAAGGCAACCTCATGGGTCATGGCCGTGTTCTGAAATTTCCATGTTTGACCGAACTTATCGCTCATTTTTCGGTCTTGCACTACGTATTTCAACTCACATGGATGATTGGAGTTTCGTCTATTTATCGTAGCCGTACACCTAAGTTTTGTCTCCGGAAATTATCGTATTCAAAAATGTAGGGTCATCGTCAGAACGTTCAAGAATCTCTAGGGAAATTTACATTCGGTTGGATTTTTGTTGAACGCACAACAATTTCGAAACGACCATTCTCGAGCACTTTTGCCCGCACTCCTTCCACGTCGCATAATATGTCGGTTGCCATTGATGGTCGATTCCCGTCCTCCTCATCTTCGACGGACTCATTATAGCGCCTGGATGCAATACATCTATTCCGGCTCCACGGATGTCCGTATTGCATACACTCGGATGTGAAGGCGTTTTGACTCTTCAGACATCAACCGCCTCACTAACCGGCGCTCAGTGGAGCGAGTCAATAAGAGGAGTCGAACGAAATGTGGCATCATTAAAACTCAAGTCGATTTTGATGCGGTACGTATAGATTTAGAAGTGGTTACGTTGATATTTTTGTAAAATTTACTTCAAGAAACACCCCATGCAATTCAGAATGTGAAGAAATTAACATCAAAATTTGCAGTGTTCATTGAAAATTTCATGTCCAACTTCTCTAAAAGGATTGTCTTATAGTGGTCGAGCTTTACCACGAGGATCTTAGATGACAGAGTGCCTTCGATTCTTTATTTATATTTCAAAGACATCTCTTAGGCATGAATAGATGCTCTACAAATCATGCTCAGCACGTGGCGGTATCAAAAACCGAGGCATAATACCTAGATGCACTGGTCCTAAGCCCGGTAAAAAGCCCGCCGTGCACGGGTAAAGCGGTAAGTGCCTGAACAGTCGAAACCCCTTCAACTTCGTGCGTATGCAACACGGTCATCCATAGAGTTCGAATAATTGCATCTGGGTCAAAATGATTATTCGTCGCATTCGACACTAACCAAGGGCGCTTTGCTAGTTTCTCTTGCACTGTGACTTGTTTCCCAGTGTGCCGATGAGGTAAACTATTCCCAGTTTTTATCTCAACGTTGTCAATTTTCCGAATATTGCTTTGATTATTTGAATGTATAACAACTTTGCCGTCTTAAAATGTGGGCAGCGGCCCCAACCTCCTCTATCCAAGATCGACAAATGCGGAAAAGTCGTTTCATGGTCACTTCGGAAAAAAGTCAAGCGCGCATCTCAACGTACATGTATTGCCTTTTGCGCCGAGGAGTTAGAAAAAGTCCAGTCAAAAATGCACCTCAACCTGCGGTAAAATTGTTTCTTTTTTTAATTTCCTTCACTTAAATGTATGTAAAAAAATCGCTGAGGCAGCTTGTCTTACCTTAAACTCGATACTTTTAATGAATTTAAATGGAGGAAAAACAATGTTTTCAACTTGCAGGCCTCTGAAATGACGCAACGACCTGAATGATACAATGACTTGATTTTTCATTTTCATTTTGAAGGCTGTGAAGTACCTGATTCGGATTTGTTTTGCTTGTACGATGAACATCAAGATTAAGCACGGAAAAAGCGTGGGTCTTTTGACGTCGTCACAAAATAGAAGTCTATATCTTTGTTTTCTAACCATTTGAAGTGGGAATATATAAACAGCGCAAATCGCAACCCCTCTAACGCAAGGGCGTACCTCAATTTCCACGTGAGCCCTGTTTTGCACATAAATCCATGCTTTCCAAGGCTCACTCGGAAATCGAGATACGCCCTTTCGCCAGAGGAGCGACGAAATATTACTGTAACTGAGCACTGGTACTAACAATAATATTGACACGGAAATTAACACGTTTGATTTAAACTTTGACGTTTTATACATTGAACAACACAATTGTGGTTTCAATAAAAGACTAGGAACACAAATCAAGACTCAACTACGATTTTAAAATAAATACGACGCATAAATTATTAATTTAGGGGCTCGGAAGACAAGGCGCATAGGTGCAGTTTTTTTTTTTTTTTTTTTTTTTTTTTTTTTTTATTTCGAAAAATACGTATTTGAAATTTCGAAATTACATGGATCCTTATGGCGGAAAGAGAGTTCAAACTGACTTTTTGATGCTTAAATTTTTGAATTTGGGAGCGAATTTTTCACAGAAAATGCATTAAGACAAGTTTTACTTGATATTATTCATAACTTAACTTTTTCAAAAAACTGCACTTAAGCGCTTTGTCCTCCAAGCCCTTTAACTGATGAAATAATAAATGATTAAGAACAACTATGAAAAAGAATGTAAGAAAATTGCATACCGATGCACAAATGGTATCGGATACTCAAGTTCGGTCTCCTGATCGTGAGAATTTCGGACATGGATCAAACTACTTTTAACTGCTGTTGGCTCGTCAAAGGTAGTCCAGCACTCGCGAACACCTTTTCGAGTGAACTTTAGAAGGTCAAGAAGCGCCGCACACGAAATCGAACCATTGTGATTTTTCAGCGAAAAAAAAGCAACAAAACGATTGGAACTCGGAAGGGTTGAAAATCGCGAAAAATTAAATTCGAAATCAAGGTGTCTCGCAAAATTTAGAAACGAATCGCGGCTGAGAGTAGATACGTCGGGTTTACGCGTGGCTGAATTTCACAGCAATGGGTATTTCAGGGAGTTCTCTGACTCTAAATTCCTCTTTAAAGGAGGTAAATGTAAAAACTTAAACACAGAAATTTGAAAAAATCGCACAGGACCTTTTCAGAGACACTATTCCCGCGAAACATACCGCACACCTAGGAGTATCCAAACTGTCGAAAAACCTGCAGATGAGGAATAAACAAACCCTCTTTTCGGGGCCGTGCGATTGGCGAGGGCAAAGGTCTTGTTTTGCCCTGAAGGGTCACCGCGAAGGACTGGAATCTGAGCTGACGAGTGTGCAAATGTCGGCCAAGGGAGTACGAATGACTTCCTTGACAATTGAGCAGCCTTTAAGTGGGCATTGCAAAGGCTCGAGGAGTTTATTTCTATATTTAATCCGCGCCCGTCATCTTGCAGGTCTGAAAAGTGCAACGTCTCATCTGCGTCGATCACAATCGAACAAAAGCGGAATCAGGATTTCGGGGGCCAAAGTGCCGCACTTTAAGTGCGAAACCACGTACCTCCGTTTGCGGTCAAACTTCCCATCAGTCAATGTAATTTCTTGAAAATTTTTTTGTTTTTCTCGGTCGGTAGAATATTCTGGCTAAATTGCGAGGTATAAAGTTAGCTTGTTTCTTTCCGAAAAATCAGAACAGGAGCGGAAATTTCGAAACACCACAATGGAGCTATGCGGATTCGCACCTTGGCCATCGATTTTTTTTTGTAGAGGAGCACAAGGGGCATACTGCCGTGCTAAGGAAGAACGCCGTATGAGCCTTCAGACGTTGCAACATTTCCTTCTATAAAACCCGAATTAACCGAGAAAATTGTGAATAGTTTTTTCCAAAATTTTCAGACAATTTTGTACGCAATTTAAAGTAAAATATCTGAAAATTTCAGGGAAAAATATGCATGAATGTTGTCAAAAATCCATGTTTTATCAAGGGCAATTTGGAAACACTCGAATATTCATACGGCGTTCTTCCTTAGCACGGCAGCACAGTATCCTACCTGCTGGAAATGATGGGTGGTGTACTGATGGGGATATGATGAGTAAGGAATTCTGCTGATGCCAGTTTTGATCTCTTCTGATATCAGTCGTATATCTGATATCGTATATCTTCTGATATCAATTGGCTCTCTGCTAATATCTGCTGGATCTCTACTGCTACAAATGGACCTTCGGGCGCGGTATGAATCAAAGCAACATGCAACATGTTTTTTCTTCGAAATTCCACGAGGAAAACTAATTACGCAACAAGAAGTCTGAACAAAGATATAAGTGTCAACAAGTAATATTGGCTGAATAACAAAAATATGAATTATGCCATGTATATGATCTAAAAAAAAGTCCCCGTCGTTATCATTCAAAAAGTTTGAATTTGAAAATAAAAACGCGGGCGAAACATCCTCAATATTTCAATAACTTACTGTAACTCTCTGACTTGTAATTCTGCTTCATTGAGAGGAATTTTTAAGCTTGGGAATTTCAAAAGGCACATGCCTTTTCCTCGCCCCCTCCCTTTTCTTCAAAATTTACTTTTGAATACCCACCCTGTAAAGCTTAACGAATGATATGCGCTCCACTAAACTTTAAATCTAAGTCCACCCCCCACGACCGCGCCACACACTGGAGATCCAGTGAACTGAGCATTCAATTACTATTGACTTTTATCATATATTTCTTCCCTCTAAATTTCACGTCCTTCCTTCGAAGTTTGTTCTTTTTTTGTAAAAATGTTCTCAGTTTGTGACAAAATTTGCACCGTAGCTGCTAAGGTGTGAATGGCCAAAGTTTCTAAGACACTTCCATTAAATAAACAAATGCTACTAATACTATAATATGAAGAGATAAATAGTACCTTAAAACGCCATATAAAAAAAAATTATGCAAAAATTTAATATTTGTGTACCTACCAATTGTTTATTCATAACTCGTCGCTACGATGACATTATAAAAAATAAAAGCAACTAAAAATAATTTGTAGATCAGTTGTATAGAATCTCTGGATTATAAAAGCACCAAATTACTTAAAAGGCAAAGTCTAAGTCCACTAGCTGATTGTGTCAAAACCCGCATACTTTTGAGTGAACGTGAACGAAAGCAACGATACTGAGCAATTCTATTTCGCACTTCTTTCCCTATCCAACAAATCTCAGCTGGGTCGAAGGACCTCGGTCCTCTTTCTCTACATAATACTTACGATAAAACGACAAATCAAGTTTGTTGCACTATCCACTTGACACTATTATGGGAGCACAGTATGCGGAGCCACTTGTTCCATAAGATGTTTGCTCTGGGAAGATACCGATTCGTGCACAAAATTGTGGCTCAGCCTCAGCCTTGTGCGTAAGGTACCGATAAGTGCCTTCAATCCGTAACGGCTGCAACAAGAATTGCTCCTCATCAGCTTGTAACGATTCTAACATCTCACAATTGGACCGCAGTTTACAATTAGGAACTACAGTTCCTGGCTCAGTTTAGGAATGACGTATGTAACATTAGTTCCCCTATGCACATAAGTGTTTTTATGGATAAGCTAGAGATTTTAGTTCCCGATTGCGCAGTATTGTCCAATTGGCATGTAATGCCCGTTATTTCGTAAGTGTCAACAAGAGAGTACGAGTACGCGGTGAAATACAGATGAGTTGGACTGTGCGGTCTTGAGGGTGTAATGGTAGGAGCGACGGAACCAGGCGCAGTATTGCCGGAGGCGCCAAAATTACAAAGAAACGGGAGAAAGAGAGAAGGAGGAAGTAAGAGAAAAATGAAAAAGAAAAAAGAAGGAGAGGGGAAAAGAAGAGACGACAGAGCACAGGGGATAATTTCATGAGCCGCCCTGCACCGCGCCGTCCGCAGCGCGCATGGCGCACGACCTGCCTCTATTCAACTATAGCGTTGAGAGTTTACTTATTACTTCACACGACCAGTCGGCAGTGTGTGATTTAAAAAGTTGAAAATTAAAAAAAAATTAAAAATAAAAAAATAAAAATTTCACGACGCACGATTTTCTCGGCCAGGGAGCTCTCTCCGCAATTGTTTACCACCCGCCCGCGTCGGGAGCGCCGCGCCGCGGCGCGTGGCGTGCTGCCAGCGCTAAACGCGCACTGACGCCTACAAACCTAAATGGCTACTTCACGCATTGCGCAATGCTTGAAGTAGAAGTCAGTGTGCATTTCGAGCTGGCATCGAGCGGCAGCACACCGCGCCGCGCCGCTAAAAAAAAAAAAAAAAAAAAAAAAAAAAAAAAAAAAAAAATATAGAAAAACAATCATCGCTCTCTGTGCTTTGACATCAAAAGCACTAAGTAAAACAAGGCACTCCCGTTGGCGCCTCTTCTGAACAAGAAGCATATTTGGAGACGGCCTTAGAAGCATTGTTTCATCATTTAAAAAACAAATCAACAGTGAAGCCGCATAGATGAGCGTATAATGCGGTTGATTGAGATAATTCTTGGACGTAGAGGGACGACGCATAAGGAACGCCTTCATTGTAAAAAGATACTTCCTAGCGTAGCAGCGGAGGCCGAATAGTTGCATCATCTATAAACCGCAGCTATAGCAACTTACAATCGAATTGGTGATCAAAGTTGCTGCATTTCAGGCTGTCTATAATTAAGGCATAAAAAATGCATAATTTCCTGTTCGTCAGTGCCTAAAAATCGCTCTACTTCGAAAAAATTCCAAAATTTGTTGGCGGTAGACCCCCATACTCACTCCGCACTCCCCCCTCCCCTCCTGGGAGAGGCAAGCCACTTGCGAAGTTGCGAGTGTGCGCACAAAAGACGCCCAACGGCGAGTATAATACAGGGTGTACCAAAAGTCCGTCCCACCCCTGCTAACTTTTGAACGAATTGAGGTAGGGTAATGAAACTTTGGGAATGTTCCTATCTCAAAGGGGACCATCTTTTGGGGGGGTCAAAATTTTGGTCCCCCCTCAGGGGGGGCGCGGGGGGCCCCCAACTTTTTTTTTCAAATGGCAACCCCTATCTTGTGATACATCATCCGAAAGAGCATAAAAAACTAAGAATTCTGTCGCAAACCGCAGATCAATATCTTAATTTTTGACCGAGTTATAATAGGTCAAAGGTCAAATTTGACTTATTTTCAAAAAATCATAACTCCGGTTCAAATTACCGTAAAGAAAAAAATAAAACGGGAAAATCTACCAAATTGTGTCCGCTTTTAAGTAAAAATTGCAGAAATCACTTCGCTGTAATTTTAAGGGGGGGCTCGGACCCCCAAATACGTCAATTCAAAGGTCATTCAATTTTCCCGCGGAAAAAGGCAATTTCCCCTAGATTTGCCTCCACATTATCTCAGTAAGGTCAAAATTAGTTCAACATTACGTTGGCAAGTCCCCAAATTTCGGGAAAAGTTAACAAAGAACGAAATTTAAACGGTCAAATTTAATCATCTTAAATTTCTTTTTTTTTAAACTTTTCCCGAAATTTGGGGACTTGCCAACGTAATGTTGAACTAATTTTGACCTTACTGAGATAATGTGGAGGCAAATCTAGGGGAAATTGCCTT